AGCCCCATTCCCCCTCTTTTTATTCCCTGAGCCCCTTCCCCCTCCTTTTCTTTCTCCTGTGAGCCTTCCTTCCTTCTCTGAGACCCTTTCCCCCTCCTCTTCTTCCTCCCTGACTCCCCTCTCACTGGGGGGATGCTAGCTGCCTGGTCTGGTACTCCTCATCCAGGCCCAGATTGGTCCCTGACTAACTTCAGGCTTCAAAATCCATTAATTTGGGTCAATATGAGTTTAAAATTCTCCCCCCTAACCCATTAAAACCAATCTATTCTTACCACACTGGATGTGATGCACTAAAAGTTTCCCTTTAACAAAAGAACCTCCCTCCTCGTGTCCTCCTGCTTGGTTTGGGTAAGAAAAACATCAAATCTTCATGTCCAGCAATTCTTTGCTTTTAAAACACTTTCAATTTCTTGCAGTGAAACTAAATGGCGGCCGCCACGTCCAGGGGATATTGCGGGGGTTCGATCCCTTCATGAACCTCGTCATCGATGAGTGTGTGGAGATGGCGCCGGGAGGACAACAGAACAACATTGGCATGGTGGTGAGTGACCAGTGGCACCAGCACAAACTGGGACTGGTTAGATAATGAGGAGCTGGAGCATCTCCCGTGTGAGGAGAGGCTGAGAGAGCTGGGACTGTTCAGCCTGGAGAAGAGCAGCCTGAGAGGGGATCTGATCAATGTCTATCAAGATCTGAAGTGTGGGGGCCAAATGGATGGGGCCGGGCTCTTCTCAGTGGTGCCCAGTGACAGGACAAGGGGCAATGGGCACAAACTGGGACACTGACAGTTCCAGACAAACTGAAGGAGAAACTTCTTTGCTGTGAGGGTGCCGGAGCCCTGGGACAGGCTGCCCAGAGAGGGTGTGGAGTCTCCATCTCTGGAGATGTTCAAACCCACCTGGACACTTTCCTGTGTGACCTGGGGTAGGGAACCTGCTCTGGCAGGGAGGTTGGACTGGATGATCTCCTGAGCTCCCTTCCAACCCCACCACTCTGGGATTCTGTGATTCTGGGACATGTAAAACCAGCTGGATTTTACACAGTGAACGTGTTTATTCTCATAACACAGAACAACCCCTGTGCTTTTAGGGTTAAAATCACTCAGATTCATTTTTCTGATGAATACTTCAATTTTTGGCACAGATTTTTAGGAAAATAAATTCTTTGGAGGGCGGGGTGGGGACAACAGGACCCTCAGTGCCACATCTCACCAGCTCTTCTGAACTTTGACTTGTAGGTAATACGAGGAAACAGCATCATTATGTTGGAAGCTTTGGAACGAGTATAACAAACACCGGAGAAACCTGCGGCGGTACCAACCGTGACGAGTCCTAAAAACCCCCCTGTTTTTGTTTCATTTCACCTCCTGTGAAGCATCCCTGAGTGTAAAACTCTTGGGTTTTTGTTAAATAAATTTTGTAATGGTTGACATAACTTGTGTCAGTTGTACTTGCCTTTTTTTGGGGGGTAACGAGGTGGTTGTTAATTCTGTTATTAATCACTGTTAGTTAATAATTCTGTTATTAATCACTGGCAGTTGTTAATTCTGTTATTAATCACTGGCAGTTGTTAATTCTGTTGCTAATCACTGGCAGTTGTTAATTCTGCTCCCAATAGCTTTAAAACTCAGGGAAGACTTTCAGGAGGTTTCATTTATTGAAGTTGATGTTAAGCTGTTGCTGCCTTTGGTGTTTTTCCTGTTAGTATCTCATAAAGAATAAGCTAAAAAGCTGTATCATGTTTTTTTCAGTGGGTTATGGGTTCTTAATTGCCAGCAAAATGGTAAAATTCCCTGCTGCGAAGAGGATTTCTGCCAGGAGCAGTGATTTTGGCTCTTGGTTCTGCCAGGAGCAGTGATTTTCACTCTATTTCTGCCAAGAATAGTGATTTTTGCTCTTATTCCTTCCAGGAGCAGTGATTTTCACTCTTAATTCCTGCCAGGAGCAGTGATTTTTCACTCTTAATTCCTGCCAGGAGCAGTGACTTTCACTCTTATTTCAGCCCCACAGAGCTGTGGTGCAGGAATCAAAGCACGTTGGGGCTGAAAGGGCTGAATAAACCTCTAGATTATTTTTTCCCTTAAGTGGAAATGAGGCAAAAATTGGCCTTTTTGGTTCACTTTTGTGAGCACGCTTCTGCTTTCAGTCCTTATTGGCAGGGATGATCATTTTTTATCACTATATTTTTAACAGAAAGGTGTTGAGTGTTTTCTCAAGCACTGCTAAGATGCCAAGAGTGCTTAGGAAGTGATTTTTGAGGGGGAGAACTCAAAATATTTCCTCAGAAAACTTCCCAATCACTCTTAGGAGCGACGGCTGTCAGTGTTAGATGTTGTGAGAACAAATCCTGAGCTTGGATTTTCAGATTTTCCTGTCTTGGTGCAAGAAAAAACCCCCTGAGAAATCAATTCCACGGGGATAACACAGACTGTAAGTACAACAACATTTTATGTTTTAGCTTTTATTGCTCGTGGGGCAGCGAGGATGTGTCTGAACTACACGATCAGTTGGGTAGTTGAGTGCAGAACACATGTATGTTATCTCAAAGCTTCCTTTCCAAACAGCACATCAATTTTATTTATTAACAACGTGTTAATTTTCTTTATTAACAGCAATATCCAGGCGTGGTTGAGGTATGGCAGCGATATTACACTCAAGGGACATGATATTCTCCTAAAATAAGGGTTTTAATTACTCAAACTTAGTCATAATTGGCTGTAGGGTGAGGTCATCTTAATTATTAGCACTTTCAAACCTCACCAAAGTGAAAGATAAAGTGTTTTTTTGCTTATCTACACCCATTTTGGCAACTCAACAAGCAGCAGACCCACCCGTGTCCCCCCCTCCAGAAGCTACAGCACTTGTTCTGGAAATAAATTAAGGCAGCAACCCCAATTTCTGCTGCACTACTCCCACCCCAAGGAATTATTCTATTATTCCTTAAATTATTCTTTAATAAAACCTTCCGAAAATACTTGAGGCAGAGAGATTTGCAGTCAAAAAGTCGGGTTTTTTGTTGTGTTTTGGTTTTTTTTTGCTTGCCTGAAATGCATCTGGAGAGGGAAAGGGCCACGGACGGGTTAATCACAGTGATGCAGATCCTGAGTTGGGCAGAGTCGTTACTGCAGAGGGCACTTTTGGGGTCTGTATGGCATTTAAAATGTCATTTTTAAATTATTTTCTTTAAATCTCACATAGGGATGGATCAAGGAGTTGGCTTGAGGAAGCTTCCTCCCCCATTTTAGTGCTGTTTTAGCCTTGAGTTGACTGAGTGTCTCCTCATAGAGGTTGAGCAAGGAATTCCTCGTTCGTTAGCTTTAATTATGGCTCAACAGCTACAGCAGGTGACCCGAATCACTGAGGGTTGGACCAAATCACTGAGGGTTGTAGTGTGGATGCTCCTGTGAGTTGACTTGAGGAAGCTTCCTCCCCCATTTTAGTGCTGTTTTCATCTTGAGTTGACTGTGTGCCTCCTTGGAGGGGTTGAGCAAGGAATTCCTCGTTCATTAGCTTTAATTATGGCTCAACATCTACAGGAGGTGACCAAATCACTAAGGGTTGTAGTGTGGATGCTCCTGTGAGCACGTGGCCGTTGGCTCTGTGAAGCTCAAAGCTCAGTTTTCAGTTTTTCATGTAAATCTTCCTGGTCGATCTTGTCTGCGTTCCCATACCAGCGGTGATAAGCGAGCAGGGCGGCGTTCTTGGCGGCGATGACGTTCATCTCCATGGCGCTGGCGGCTCGCTCGATGCCGCTCAGGTAGTAAATCCTATCGTGGAGGATGATGGGAGGGCATTTCTCTAGAGGGCTGTATTTGGGATATGCCAACCATTTCTTCATTTTAACAGAGTCATAAGAGGAAAAAAGTAAGTTAAGCTGCTCTTTGGTGAGCACCTCCTCTGAAGACACCCTCCAGACGGCCAATGGCAAGAGTGGTTTTCCTTCATCACCATCATCTTCCACTGGAGACACCACCCCCACGCTATTGATGAACAGTTTGGGATTCTCTGTAGTAAAAATGGCACCGAAAGGAAAATCAGATGAGTCTTGGTAACCAAAGAAGGAAGCATTTAATCGCCCGTGCACTAAGGTGGTCACTGTCTGGTGGTACGGATTTGGGAACTCTGGGACAGGAGGATCGAAGTTCTTGAAGGTGATGTTGGCCATTTTGTGGCTGAGCGGAGTAGCGATGACAACGATGTCGTACGTGTCCCCCGTTAATCCTGACGTCGTGTTGTAAGTGACCTGGTAGAACTTCACTGTCTCTCCTGCAGAGAAAAGCTCGGTTATCCCGCTCCGTGGCTGGAGGGAATCCTGTTTGTCCCTCCCACAAACACCAGGCTTTTAAAATTCCACCCTATTTAGGCAAATTACGCTTTGTTATGAGTTATAAACTAATCCCAGCTTAGCTGTGGGCGTGCTGTGAGCTGGAGCTTTGAGCAGAGCCCATTTTTTATCTTAAAAGACTGAGTAAGACCCAGGCTGTTCCTCTGGTCAGCCAAGAGCTGTGACAGAGACCAAGGTTGGTCTCTGGCTGCTGGAACATGTCGTTCCCCTCCAAAGGAAAAATAAAATCAACTCACCTGTAGGTTTGGGTCTGATTTTTGGCTCTATAGATAAAACTCTACCAGGGATAACTTCAGCTTTGGAAGAGGAGAGAAGGCCGATACAGACAAGTTTGTTTCCTCCTTTTACTGACCATAGAGCTGATTCCATCCACGCCAGAGAAATAGCACCTACGAGGAAATTGTGATTATTAAAGAGGTTTGTTTAGTGTTATTCTGTAGGGGAGCACTTGAAACAAAGTGGAAAATTAGTGTGTGGGGGGGGAATTATCCCTTTGGGGCACAGAGATTGATGAAGGTCAGGGTTAAGCAGTTGCATTAGCCAGCAATTTATTGGAGCGAGGTGGTAACTCAGCATGGGAGGTGCTGCACCAGTCCAGGGAGCAGGAATCCAGTGATCCCAACATTGGGAAGAGCTCAAGATCCCTGGGACAGATGTGTTGCTGTGGCTGTTTCACCCTCTGTGCCCCTTGATCGTGGTGGGGGTTGATCTATGAAACACCCACCTATGAAACAAACACTCAACGCTCACCTACGAATCCGTTGATGTTGACGCACTGCCCATAATTAAACCTCATGGCCGAACAAACCATCTCGTTGATGAACTTGTGGGAGAAGCCAGCTTTCTGCATGGCTTCATCGATGGTTTGGTTGAGCAGGCGGGTGAAGTCGTTCCCTCCCAAGGCGTGGAGCAAGCGTTCGTTGCTGCTGAAGGCGTAGTCGTACGTCTGGTAGCGATAGATCCTTGAAAGCCAGACAAGAAATAGGTGTGGAGTCGCTGCTCGTGGCCTTGGCTGCCCTCAGAAGCTGTGGAGGAACGTGCAGCACAGCTTCCCAGAGCCTCACAGCCCTTTGTGGGTCCTTCCAGCCCAGCTCTCGCCTAACTGGGACGTGTCTAAGCAGACCTGGATCTTCATTGGTTTTTTTTACTGATTTTTTTAATTTACTATTTTAAATTATTATTTTACTGGAGGTTTTTTAATTATTTTATTGATTTATTGATCTTTCATAACAAAAGCACTCTGTGGACAGTTGTGCATGCTTACCTGAATTCCACTTGTGCACACGTACTTTAATTCTCCCAGTGTACACTCACTTTCTCTGTGCACACTCCCTTTGATTCTCCCTGTGCACACTCCCTTTGATTCTCCCTGTGCACACTCACTTTCATTCTCTCCGTGCA